TTTTTTTTTTTTTTTTTTTTTTGCTTAAAACGTGGGTTCTTTGATTTTGGTGTTCATTGGGGTTTGCGGATTTTCCGTTTTTATTTATTTGGTTTTCGGTTTTCGCGAAAAATGCTAACGGGTTTTCGGATTTGATATCCAATGCGGTTTTCGATTTTTCCTATTTGACCTATTTGGGTTTCGGTTTCTTTTCGACCTGAGCGGCAATCACGCGCCTCCACCGATCTCGAATAGCCGCTAAATGCAAATGTTATTGAGAGGAATGTGTGACAAACCGATTGAAATATCGCAGGGATCCCTGGGGGGTTCACGCGTCTTAAATGATGCCAAAGACTTTGACCTTGCAATGTGGAGCATTTAGGTGAAGGTCGATCAGTTTGCGAACATGTCTTCCAACGTGCCAGACTCGCCGGTAACGGAAGAAGGTCAAGGAGGACCTTAAGAAGCAATTGTGGATTGCGTTTTTTTAAAAAAAGAAGGGAAAGGCGGCATGAATTTCATAAAGAAAAACAAGTTTAGATGCAAAGTAAAACAGGAAGAGAGAAGCTTGCACAAACATAAAAACAGTGTTTGGTAAGTCAATCGTACCAATGTCATTATTTACATTACACTAGTTTAATCGCTATATCCTATACAGGGGCGTAGCGTCCATATACGCGCTGCGCCCGTGCGTACAGCTGAAATCTGGAAATATATTCATTCCCTTATTAGCATTTGTCACAGCTACCATAAAATAGGACGGAATTTCAATTCGCGCGAGTGTTTGTTTTTCCAGTGCCTTTTCATTAATCCATAAACGACAAGAAACTGTCTTTGGTTTCTTAAACTTGTTAACTCTCTAGATATTTTAGAAAGCCACCAACCCTTTTAGGTTTAAAACTCTAGAGATGGGTAAAATAAACAACTAACCACTGCATTTTCCGTCGCATTTAATTACAAAAAAGTTCCGCGGAAATAGTTCGAAATGGCATTTCCGAGACCCTAAATTTCAAAATTTTCTGGGGGAGCATGCCCCGAGATCTCCTAGTTTGGGGCGCCTTCGGCGCTCCCAATTTCCGCGTTGTGCATACACCTTCCAAATCTCACGCTACGCCCCTGATATGTATATAATATGTGGCTCGTTTAGGACGATACAGACTTACAGAAGACTTACAGTCCTTATACACTTAAAATACGCGATATCTATACCCATGATAAATTGGAAATTTGCGATCGGTGAGGAAGATGACGATTATAATTACCACGAGCGTCTGTTCTATGGCGGGGAAGCAACGAAAAAGAAAGTAAAAGAGCGTTTGAAGGCGATTCACTCAATACTAGAAGATACGAATGCCAAGTCCATGGCATTCACAAATACTGTAATGAAATTGGTATAGTTTACCCTGTGTGCTCCACTTGTCACCACTGTATCGGATTGATCAGGGTTTTAATAACTGGGCTGTGAAAATNGAACAAAAGGAAAAAAGGGGGTGTTGCGGTCTACATGAGAGACAGTCTTAAAGTCTTGGATGTCTATCGGTCCAATTTATATGGGTTTATTGCTTTAACAGTGCTGTTGCCGTCCGATCACATTATGCTAATTTGCGGCCTGTAGAATCCTCCCAAGTATAGCTACCGGGATCTCGACTTAATTAATTATATAATATCTTTTATGGACCTTGTTTTGAACAAACACCCAGAAGCGGCTATTGTCTGTGGTGGCGATGTAAATCGTTTGGATATGCAATAATTTAAGGCTTTGTCTGGCTGGGATTTCATGGTTGATTTTCCCACGCGGGGTAACGCGTGCTTGGAAAACGGTATGACCAACCGAGTGGATCTGTTCGGTCAAGCATATCCCATACATATGCTTATTAAGTCAGACCATTAAGGCTTTGTTTTACCGGCGGGATTAAAACTTAAACCTGTGCGCCGCAAAGTTCTTGTGCGGGACTGTAGGGAACATCGGAAACAGTCATTTTATATGGCACTCACTACACTGGACTGGAGTGACGTCCTCAATGCGGTGGACATAAAGAAGGCGGTCGAGGTGCTTGAGGAAAAGATTCGTGCAGTGATTAATAAGTTTATGCCGCAAAAATCGGTACGCATGTCATCGCGTGACCCAGTTTGGTTGTCCCCATTAGTCAAGTGTATGCTGAATATCTTTAAACAACAAGGAACGTCTGTCTTTATTTAATAAGCGCATTTCTGAGCTGATAACCGAGAACAGAAGAAAACCGGCTGTCATTGGTAGCGGTGAGTGATGGAAGGGCGCGGACGCTCTATCGCTGCGTCGCAGGTCATCGTTGATAAATTTGGACAAGAACTCTCTAGTTCGTCTGAACGACTACTTCACCAACCTGTGCTATGATGACACTTACGTTAGACCTATTGATACGGATATCCCGGACAGTGTAAAGCCTCCGAAAATATCTGAGCGGTGTGTTTGGAATACCTTAGTTCATGTAAAGAAAACGGCAACGGGACCAGACGACCTTCCGTACTGGATCTGGAAAGACTGTGCCGAGCTACTCACACCAATCATCACTCACGTTTGGAATCTGTCGCTGTCTACTCATACATGGCCAGACTCCTGGAAGAGGACAAACGTTAATTCTCTTCCCAGAGTGAACATGCCTATAGCGGACTCAGACAACCGTATTATTAATGTTACTCCCGTTATTGCCCTGTTGTTCGAGAAGGTCGTGTATTGTACACAAGCACAGTCAGTCATTGAGAACAACCTGAGCCACACCCAATTTGCATATAGACAGGCGGGTAGTTGCACAAATGCCTTGGTCGCTATCCAGCACCAAACACACAAGTAATTAAAGGCTGATAGTTTCGAAAGAAACTGTTTGGGGCTGCTTCGGTGGGAGTAACGAAATAATTTGGATATATCAACAAAGTTGAAATGGTAAATTGGCCACCGTAATGATTACAAAAGCTGACGTTTCGAGCGTTAGCCCTAACGCTCGAAACGTCAGCTTTTGTAATCATTACGGTGGCCAATTTACCATTTCAACTTTGTTGATATATCCAAATTATTTCGTTACTCCCACCGAAGCAGCCCCAAACAGTTTCTTTCGAAACTATCAGCCTTTAATTACTTGTGTGTTTGGTGCTGGATAGCGACCAAGGCATTTGTGCAACTACCCGCCTGTCTATATGCAAATTGGGTGTGGCTCAGGTTGTTCTCAATGACTGACTGTGCTTGTGTACAATACACGACCTTCTCGAACAACAGGGCAATAACGGGAGTAACATTAATAATACGGTTGTCTGAGTCCGCTATAGGCATGTTCACTCTGGGAAGAGAATTAACGTTTGTCCTCTTCCAGGAGTCTGGCCATGTATGAGTAGACAGCGACAGATTCCAAACGTGAGTGATGATTGGTGTGAGTAGCTCGGCACAGTCTTTCCAGATCCAGTACGGAAGGTCGTCTGGTCCCGTTGCCGTTTTCTTTACATGAACTAAGGTATTCCAAACACACCGCTCAGATATTTTCGGAGGCTTTACACTGTCCGGGATATCCGTATCAATAGGTCTAACGTAAGTGTCATCATAGCACAGGTTGG